AGCTCCATCTTGCTCAGAGATCCATCTGCTCCGAGCTCCATCTTGCTGAGAGCGCCAATCACTTCCAGCTGCACTTTGCTCTGAGCACCATCTGCTCAAGCTCCATCTTGCTATGAGCAACATGTTTTCTGAGCTAAACGTTGCTCAGAGCTGCATATGCTCCAAGCCCCATTGTGCTCAAAGCTCCAATCACTCTGAGCTCCATCTTGCTCCCAGCACCATCTGCTCAGAGCTCCAATCTCTCAGAGCAATCACCCTGAGCTCCACCTTGCTCCCAGCACCATCTGCTGAGAGCTCCAATCACTCAGCGCAATCACCCTGAGCTCCATCTTGCTCCCAGCACCATCTGCTCAGAGCTCCAATCTCTCAGGGCAATCACCCTGAGCTCCATCTTGCTCCCAGCACCATCTGCTCAGAGCTCCAATCTCTCAGGGCAATCACCCTGAGCTCTATCTTGCTCCGAGCACCATCTGCTCAGAGCTCCAATCTCTCAGAGCAATCACTATGAGCTCTATACGTCTCTGAGCACCATCAGCAAAGAGCATTATCTTTCTCAGAGTTCTAATCATTCTTAGGTCCTTCTCACTCTGAGCACCATCTGCTTCTAGCTCCAGCTTGCTCTGAGCACCATCTGCTTGGAACTCCATCTTACTGGGAGCAACATCTTCTGGGAGCTCCGTCTGAGCTACAATCACTGAAGCTCCATCTTGCCCTGAGCACCATACGCTTGCTGCTCCATCTTATTCTAAGCACCATCTACTCTGAGCTTCATCTTGCTCAGAGCTCCATCTACTCTGAGCTCCAGGCACAATTTGCTGAGAGCTACATCTGCTCCCAAAGGACAATTTTAAAATTTATAAACAAGAAGAAAACAATGAACCCAAAGAAAAGGCACCCTACAGATTGGGATAGAATAATAGAAAATCATGTATCCGAAAAGAACTGTTATCTAACATATGCAAGAAACTAAAGGTACTAAGTGGACATAATGATAAAGCAACTAAAACCTTTATTTATCTCAACAACCTGCCACTGGCATAAAAACGGAAACGCTACCCAATGGACAGAATGAGGGAGTCCCACATGCCACCCAAATGAATGCACACTGAACACATTTTTCGACACAACACAAAAAGACACAATGGGAAAATAATAAACAATTTTGAGCAAACTGGATAACCACATGAAAAAGAGTGAAACAGGACAAAAATCGATGTAAATGACACTGAAGGCCTAAACTCAATCTTGAAACCATTTACTTCCCTCGGGAAACAAAGGGTAAGCACATAGTTTAGAAGACTAATCTATGCACACAGTTGCAAAATGTGAAATATAAAAAGAAAAAGAAAAATTAGAAGGAAAAAAACCATAGACGATCCCATGGATTGGCAATTTTTTCACTACACATGGAAGTCACCACTAATATGCAAACACGTGGAACCACGGAAAACATCGGATCTTACGCTTTGAAAAGAAAACAATGAACAGAAGACAAGGTGCCTCACAGACTGAAAGAAAACTATGGAAAATCCTGTCTTTGAAAGGGGCCGTTATAAAATATGTGCAAGAAACTAACACTACCGTGTGGGGGAAATAAAAACAGAAAAAGAAACAAACACCCAAGCTAAGTCTGGGCGAAGGACCTGAATAGACGTGTCTGCAGAGCAGATGTCAAACTGACTCACAGGGAAAAGAAAAGTCTCTCAAAAGCGCTAATCCTCACAAGAATGTCAAGGAAAACCGCACTGAGATACAGCTTCCATCCACATAGATTGAATGTTCCCTAAAACAGAAATAAAAGTTTTAAAAGGAAACAACTAGTATAGACTTTCAGAAGCGGAAACTCTTCTCATACACTATTGGTGGGAATGTCAATGTCTACACACACTAGGAAAAACAGCTGGAAGTGCCTCAAACAAAGTAAAAACGCCATTTCATCTAGCCATCATTCCATTCCTATGTGGAAGAGATACCTGCCTTGCCCTCCGCACTGCAGTACTCACGACAGTCTAGATAGGAAATGCACCTACCTGTTCATTCATTGATGAAGGGACGAGGAAACTGCAATATACATCCAGAGCAGAATATTCTTCAATCATAAAAATGGGGGAAATCTCTTCACTTGCAGCCACATGGAAAAACCTGAGGAACATTATGTCAAATGAAATACACCAGGCAGAGAAAGGCATATACTGCATGATCTCATGCATGTTGAATCTAAAACACTTGACCTCACAGAGGTCAACAGTGGTTACCACCAGAGGCTGTGGGGAAGGGGGGCCTAGGGAGGGATTGGTAATGGGTACAAAGTTACACTTAGAAAACAGATCAGTCCTGCCCTTCTCTTCTACAGCAGGGTGACCAGGGTTAATATTGTAGTGAATTTTCCAAACAGCTGGAAAGGGTGCTGAGTATCATTTCCACAGACAAATAATACCTAGAGGACTTCATAGATGCTAAATATTGTGATTTGATCAATATGCTAGGTGTACCCATATCAAAATGGCCCCTGTATCTTCTAGTTATATACATATACTCTAGGGTAATCTTTTTTTTTTTTAAAAAGGATACCAATGACACTAAAATTTACATGGAACCATGAAACACCTTGAATTTCAAAGCAACCCTGAAAATACAAAGTTCACGGAATGCATCACTGTCTTCCATTTGAAATTATACTGAAAAGCCAGTTATCTACACAATAGATGACTGGCACTAACCGAGAAACCCAGACCAACAGATGGAATGAGGGAGCTCAATCACAAACCCAAATTCCTAGGGAGCGTACACGTTCTGTAAAAGAACACTGAAAGACACAACGAAGAAGAGGAAATCTTTTTAGTAAATGGATTTGAAAACTGGATATCCCTACGTAAGTAAAACAGGACCCCTATTGTGTAAGAAGGCCAAGGTTTAACTCAAAATGAATTAGAGACTCATAAACAAAAGCTGAATGCATCAGACTCTTCCAATGAGAAGACATACGGTGTGGGTATATTTAGGTCAATGTGGATCTGTGCTCACAGTATGTCAAAACAAAATATAAAATACAGGGGGAAAAATTCATAGGTGATGGACTAGTTTGGTCATGATTCTGTTTTTCCTCATCAGTCACCTACATCAAAGGACAACAAGAAAACAGACACACAGGGGACTGCATCATACGTTAGAGTTTGTGCCCAAGCAGATTTTTAAAAAATCCATAAATAAAATAAAAAATTATCCTGAAGTTTACAAGAAAAGTTTCTGCAAACCTACATCTGATGAAAGGTTGTCTTTAAAATGTCTGAGCAACAAACACTACTTACTAGCAAAAACACAAAAGAGAAACTAATAACTAAACAAAATGGGGCCAAAGAACCTAAATAGACATTTCTGCAAAGAAGACGTAACATTGAAAACAAGTTTTAAAAACTTACATAATATCACAAATCATGAGAAAGATGTAAATCAAAACAACACACAGCATCTCACTATAATTCATATGAACGTTATCAAAGCAATAAAATACATTAAGAGGCACAAAGGCTGGTGTAAATTTCCACAGAGGAATTCATTTGGTAAGAACGTTAATCAGTATACAAACTACAGAAACCAGTGGGAGGTTCCTCCAAAAGTTTAACCTACACCTACCACTTCATCTAACAAGTGTACTACTAAGTATACTTTCAGGGCAAAAGAAATCAGTCCATGCAAGAGGCGTCTGCCATCCTATGTGGACTGCAGCACTATTCACAACTGCCAAGACAAAGAATAGACTTACCTGCCCATCCGCAGATGAAGGGATACTTGGTGGATGTACACAAATAGAATCGTCTTCAGCCAAAAAACCAGAATGAAATTTCATCATTGGGAGCCACACTGTTGAACCTGGAGGACATCGTGGTATATGACCTAAGACAGGCAGAAAAGAACCATCAATGTAGAATCCAAAATAAAAGGCTTCACTGCACAGGTCTAGAAAACACAATAATAGTTACTAAAGGTTGGAGGGAAGAAGGGGGATGGGCAGAGATCAGAAATAGGCACAAAGTTACACTTAGATGAGAGGAATGAATTGTTCCTGGCTGTTCCACAGTCAAGTGACCAGAGGTTAACACATCACACCCTTTTCACAAAATCTGGGAGAGTCCAAATGTTTTTACCACAAAGAAATTAACAACTGTTTCTGATACTAGAGCCTCTAAATATCCTGATTTTATCATTCATCTGTGTCTGCATTAATCAAAATGCCCCACTCTAACTCCCCACATTGTATACCTTTACTATATGACCAACCTTTTATAAAAAGATGTAAATACACAATGCTAACATTCCTGTGGACCACAAAACACACTGAATTTGCAAAACAATCCTGAGAAATCCAAACTACCTTGGTAGTGTCACACTTCCCGATGTTAAATTTCATTGAAAAGCTAGGGACCCTATTCCACACAGAGCAGTGGAACAGATTAGAGAACCCAGACATAAACATTCACCCCTAACACCATCTGATCTTCAACAAAAATGCACAAAAATAAGCTTTGGAGAAAGGACTCCCTCCTTTCAATAGATGGCACTGGCATAAATGACTAGCCAGCTGCAGAAGAAAAACAGTGGGCCCTGTGTCTCGCGGTGTACAGACATAAACTCAAGATGAATGAAAGATGTAAATGCAAGACCTCACATATGAAAACCCTGCAGGAGAACCTAGAAACACCCTTCCTGACAGAGGATTTGGCACAGCATGGATGTGTCTCAGTCTCCAAAAGCAAGTGCAACTAAAACAATTATCGCCCAGTGGCACCTAATACACAGAAGAGCTGCCGCACAGAAGAAATGACCAACACAGTGAACAGACGGCCTGCACGACGGGAGAAAATGTTCCCACGCATGCATCTGATGAAGGCTAATATGCAGGATCTACCTTAAAGATGTTAAGCAAATCAACCAGGAAAACAAAAACTCAATGAAGAAAGGGCAAGGGGCAGGAAAACATGCACCTCAAAAGAAGGCTTACAGCAACCAACAGATGTGACAACATTTCTCTACCTCAGTCATCATCAGAAAAAGACAAAGCAAAAGGCCCATGAGATAGTACTGCACACTGGCCAGAATGACGATTAGGACACGGTCCGCAAGAACGAATGCAGGCGAGGCAGAGAAGAGGGATGATGCTCTGCTGCTGGTGGAAATGCAAACCAGTTCAGACACCATGGAAAGCTACGTGGGGATTTCTCAAATGACTTTCTCCACATCACGAATACTCACAAAAATGTCCATGAAAACCATGCTAACATTCCGTCTCCTTCCACTCACTATGAATACTACCAAAAACAAAACACAAATTTTTGAAGGCGCCAGCCAGTGTAGACTTACAGAAAGGTAATCCCTTCGACACTATTGGTGGAGATGTAAACTAGTATACACACTATGAGAAACAGCAAGAGGTTCCTGAAAAACTTCACAGTACAACTACCATGTCAGCTGACAGCCCCACCACTGGTTGCACATTTAAAGCAGCTGAAATCCCTGGGCTGAAGAGAGCTATCTGCCTTCCATGGGTACTGAGGCACTTGTAACTGTGGCCAGGGTACAGAACCAGCCCACCTGTCCACACACAGCTGCAGGGATGAAGAAACTGCTGTACAGATACACCAATGAGTATGTTCCAGCCATAAAGCTCTGGGAAATCCTGCCATCTGGAGCCACATGAATAAACCTGGAGATCATCAGGTCCAACGAATGAGCCTGGTAGACAAAGTCCCATTCCACACCATCTCAGGCATGCACTGAAAACATCTTCATCTCCTAGAAGCAGAAAGTTCAATAGGGGTTACTAGAGGTCACTGGGAAGATGGAGAGGATCTGGGAAGGAATCAGCAATGGGTAAAAAGTTACCCTCAGATGACAGCAATCAATTCTGGTCTTCTATTCCACAGCAGGGTGACTGGCCTTAACACAAGTATATTATATGTTTCAAAGTAGCTAGAAGAAAATATTCTGAATATTACCACACAAAAAAATCATAAGTATAGAATGTGAAGAGATGCTAAATAGCCCAATTTGATCACTATTCAACATATACGTGTATCAAAATCTTCCCTGTACCCTCTAATTATATACATTTATATATGGCAAATGGTATTTTAAGATATATAAAGAAAACAATGCCAAAATTCTCATGAAAATGTGAAACACCCTGAATTTCCAAAGTTATCCTGAGAAACACGCCATGTGGCATGTATCACATTCCTTGAGTTCCAATTAAATGCAAATCCCTAGTTAACCAACCCATATGTTACTGGTAAACACAGAGAAATACAAACCAGTGAGCAAAATGAGGGTGTTCAATAATAAACACAAATTTATATAGAGTGAACACATTTTTCAAAACACTACCAAAGTGACACAATGGGGAAGGTTTTCAAAACTAGGTATCCATATGCAAAAGAATAATACATGACTCTTATGGTATGAAATACACAATAATCAACTGAAAAGGACTAAAGATTATACACAAAATTTGCAACCATAAAGCTCCTATAAAGACAACCTCAGGTGTGTGTATATTTATTGCAACTTGGATGTATGCTCATGATTTGCAAAAACTAACAAAAATACAAGGAAAAGAAAATCATGGACAATGGACTGCTTTGGTAGTGATTTTGTTTTTTCTTGATTAGTAACCAACAGCAGAGCTAACCAAGAAATTATACACATGTGGGGCCACATCAAACTGAAGAGTCTGTGCCTAATAAACAATGAACAAAATCAAAAAGCATACTAAAAATTACGAGAAAAGTTTGGGCAAACATTCAGTTGGATAAGGGGTTATTTTTCAAAAGGTACAAGCCAGTAACAATACCAGCTGGCCAAAAAAGCAGAAAAATAACCAAACCAAATAACCTGAAGAGATATTTGTGCAGACAAGAAACTGACCCAGCATTTGCAAAAACGTGGTTACCATTACTATGCATGAGAAAAATGAAGATCAAAACCACACTCGGATCTTATCTCACTCCAACTAGAATGAACATTACAAACAGATTATAATATTTAAAAAGACAACTTCTAGTATGAATTTCCACAAAGGGAACTGTTTGTGGAAACGTAAATTAGTATTAACGCTGTAAAAAACAGTTGGGAGTCCTGCAAAGAATAGAAAAGAAAACTACCATACCATCTAGCATTCCCACTACTGGGTACACATTCAACCTACCTGTCCATCCACAGATAAAGGGATCACACTCTCGTATGCATACGTTAGGGAATATTCTTCAGCCACCGAAATGATGAAACAGTGTCATGTGGAGCAACCCAGATGAACCTGGAAAACATTATGTTAAATGTAATGAGCTGGGCCAAGAAAGACAAACACTGAATCTTAAGATGTCTATCTTAAAGAGGTAGAAAGCGCAATATGGGTTACCAGGGTCTGGGAGACAGAGGGGGAGTAGGGATTGGTTATGGAAGCGAAGTTATCTTAACCTTAAAGGAATAAATCTGAGTGTTCTCCTCCTCAGCCTGGTGACTGGAGTTAACAATATTATATTTTTCAAAAGAATAAGAAAGGAGAATTTTGAGTGTTCTCGCCACACAAAAATAGTACCTTATGAGGGAATAGACATCCTAAGTACCCTGATTTGATCATTATCCAATCTATATGTGTGAAAATGTAACCCTAATTATGCACCTTTATGTAGCAAAACAAAAGTTAACAGAAATAAATACACATTGCTAAAAATCACAGGAAACCATAAAAGCAATTCATATCTAAAGGAATCCTGAGAAATACAATCAAAGTGAGGACCCACAATCATCGATATTAAATCACACCGCCAAGCTGCAGTTATGCAGCAGATATACGGTACTTGCATAAAAGCAACACCTAGAACTGTGGACAAAAACGGGGAGGACAAAACAAGATCAACGCAAATATGGACACAGTCGACCCACTTTGACAAAGACCACCGCAATGTGGAAAGCAGAGTCTGCTCAATGAATACCTTTGAGAAAAATGGTATCTGGATGCAGAACAGAGAAACAAGACCCTGATTTGACATGATGTTTGAAATTCAACACCCCACCCCCACCCCTGGCAAAAAACAAAAAAGCAAATAAAAACCCCGAAGACCCGAACAAAAGATCATAAACCACAAATTGTTTTTAACTAAAACACAGGTTGAGCATATATTCTGGGTCACTTGAATCTCTTGCTCACCTTTGCAAAAAGAAAAAGAAACAAACACCCTGGAAGAAAAACCTCATTGACAATTAAATACTTTGTCACTGGTAAGTATTTTCTTATATGGCTGACCAAAATTACATGCATAAAACGCAAAAATAAACATGGACTACATCAACCTGAAAAGTTTCTGCACAGCAAAGAAACTACTTTCCAAATAAAAAAGCATCATATAGATTAGACCAAAATTTCGGATGATCATGTAATTCATGAGTTGTCATCTAAGGTGTACACAAAAAACACTACAAAGTAGCAAAAGAATCTAATACTTCACGAAGGACCTGAACAGACAATTCTGCAACATAAAATCGAACAACAGATAAAAGATCCTCAAAATTTACTATCCAACAAAGTTAACTGTGTGTGGTTTAATAAAAACCACACACAGATAATCTCACACTTATTGAATATTCCTAGAAAGGTTTTTAAAAATAGGAGAGGCCAGGCTCGGTGGCTCACGCCAGTAATCCCAGAACTTTGGGAGTCCGAGGGAGCAGATCACCCGAGGTCGAGTTTCAGACCAGCCTCATCAATATGGAGAAGCCCCGTCTTTACCACTGATACAAAAATGAGCCTGGCGTGGTGGCGGGCCCCTGTAGTCCCAGCTACTCTGGAGGCTGAGATGGGAAAATTGCTTGAACCCGGGAGCGCAGGTTGCA